TTCCTTACAAGAAGCTCTGTTTGCCCCAAAAGATCCTATTCCTCATCCAGGAATTCCTTCTTAACTGGACAGTTGAGTTCATTTTTTCTTTATTAATAATGTCATTTTGATCTCAAAAAGTGTGTTTGTTGTTAGTTTTTTGAGGCAGTTTGTGTTGCTGTTCTGTGGTTTGTTTGTTCATTTGTGTTTTTGTGGTTTTGGTGGGGTTTTTTTTGTTTGTTTGTTTTCTCTTTGGTTTGTTTTTTTTTTTTTTTCTTTTTTGTTTTTTCTTTATTGGCATGCTTACATGTCTTTGATTGAATATATGTCCTCAGTTTCAGGTTCCTCTCCACCTGCCCACAGTGTGACCCCCTGTGACATCTCTAGAGTGCCTTGCAATTGGATACAACTGCTGTATTAATGAAGGCTTTCTGTTGCAGCAAAGGGACTTTTTCTTTCCTGCAAGAGCATAAAATGCCTGTGGCATAGATGTCCTATGAGCATCAAAGCATGGAAATAATTTTCATTTCAGTTTTGTTTTTGTGGGTCTTTTTAAATTTAGATGTTATATTGTGTACTTGAATATTAGTTTCTCGATGTGTCTGAATTGTTTAGAATGAGTACTTAAAATTCATCTTACATATCGGGGTTCGCTGTTATTTGTCTCTGCCCCGATACGGGAAAAGTGGTTCTGGGTGGCCGCAGTTTCGAAGGACGAGTCTGGACTCTCAGGTTTTTCGGTCTTCAATCTTGTTTATTAATTCTTATCTACAACATTTTCTCTCTGCCCAACCGAGGTCTGTTCAGCAGGACAGCCGAGTGCACTCTCCCCGCCTCTCAGACTGGTGCTGTCTTTTATACTAAAAACTATGTATACTATGTTTACAGTTATGTTCCAATACCTATCAGCTATGTTAGACATTGACTTTCTTCTCTAAACCAATCTGTGAATGCCAGCATCATCCTGAACATGGATGCCAGGGAGAAGAAAGAAGGACAGGGCCCACCTAAATCCCTCCATCTTGGAACCCCTGATCCCCATGTACAGAATCCCGAACCCCCCTGTACAAGGTCCAAAACCCACCTGCACAGTGCTCCAAAATTTTTTCCTTCACCCTGTGATTGCTACTGCTATGCTACTTAAACTTTTGTGACCTGTAATTCTTCATACAAAGTTGGTAATTTGCTCCATGGGTTGAGATCAAATTTCCAGGTGTCTTTGGCTTCCTATTAGGGTCTCTGAGCCCCTACCAGGGCTTTGAGACATCCAGGGCATCCAGAGAGATGTCCTGGGTTCCAACACTTACTCTACAGTATTTCAGTATCTCCTTTAGTGTTTATGTTCCTAGCTTCCTTGTTTAGTTCTAAGGCATAAAACAATTCTTAAATCGCCTGTCATGGGTTGTTGTCTTCTATTGCACTGAAATATTCTAAAGACTAAGAACCATATAAATATTTTTACATAAATCCTGTAAAAACAACCTTATTTTATATTTATGAATTTTGTTATGAATATTTATAACACAATTTCCCTTTTTAATTGTTAGTCCATTTTCATAGCTTTAAAATATACACAGCTACTAGAAATATTATGCTGGTATGATAGTGCAAAACTAGTTTTTAGTCTATTTGAATTATTTTATGTAATGTCATTGAAATTCAGAATTTTACAGTAAGTATACCAAAATACTTGTAGACGCTGAATCTTAAGTAGAAGGAAATCAGCAGTGGGAAAAACAAATTAAGGAAAAAGTTGATGACTATTAATAATGTTTAAATTAGAAATTAAGAAACTCTGCTTACACCATATAATAATGTATATATGTGATAAATACTCATTTTCTACCAAGTGTGTTGAATTTTCTTGAGGAGTTGCTTTCTCAAAGTAAGTTTTGCACCAAATATGCACAAGTCTGTGTTAGCAACCACATTGGATAGTGCTTGTACCAGAGTTTCCTGATTACTTTCTCAGTGTTTAAATACATGGTTTCATAAAGACTATTGTGGCTTTTCAACCAAACCTAAAATGCCTAGAACCTAATTTAAAAACTCTTTCACTGTACTGTAATAAAAGGAAAACCATTTTGCGGTATGATGGAGTAAATCTTTGTTGATGATTGATCTAAGAATTACTTAATTGTGCATCTGGACAAGCTGTATTCATCTGGCCAGTTGTGGGTGTGCAGATGGTCAGTACCAGATGTGTGCCACATAACAATGGCCGGCATTATGCAGCTGCCATCTCTTCCATGATACGGGTGTGGGCAATGGTTTGCCCTGCTTACCAAACATTTGCAAGCATATGAAGTTAAAGCGAACATAGCTATTATATAATTAGTATGCATGTTGAACTGCTGCTTGATTAGAGGGAAAGCAGTTATTCTGCCATGGCTCATTTTGATGATGCATTCTCTTAACATACTAGCTTTAACTTTTGAGGATTTGATTTAAATCCTGAATGTGCATCACAGCCGAAAAGATGTGTATTCATTCCCAAGTTCTGAGAAGGCATTTTTCCACATGATAAAGTGCATGTGTACTTGATTAGCTGTTGTTACTTTAGGGTATGTGGCTACACATACTTTTGCAGATTGGGGCTAGCACATCTGAATAGTGTAGACTCTTGTTCACCATTTTTCTGCTTTACAGCTACTTATGGCTACAGATTGTAAGTATAAAAGCTCTGCTTGCATGACACTATGCTATTGTTTTCTCCTTTTGAATAATAATCATACAGGAGTAAATGTGGGACACAACAGAGAGCAGGCAGTGGAAGTTTGCCAACTGCCATATGGTGCTAATATTGGCGGTGGCATTCTGTATTGTAAACTCAAGACCTGCAGTAGTTTATGCATTTAGGCAGTGTGACCTTACATTGTTGTCAAAATGTATAACCATCACATCATTTTACAGAAGGAATTGTGAAGTGTCAGGTTTATTACACATTGAGAATATTTGGACAGCGTAGGACTTAAATGTTCTAATATGTCCATGTGGAACAATAGATTAATAGATTAAGAAGAGGCCATGACAAAGATTGTATTTTCTCAGGAACCATTTTAAAGTCAAGATTAAGGTCTGCTAATTTAAAGAAACTGGGAATTGATATTATCCAGCAAACGCTTTTTTTTTTTTTTTTTTTTTTTTTTTTGTCTTTTTTGTTTTTTT